AAATTTCCGTGTCTTGGTCGATGTTTGCGATGTCAGTGTCAGTTCCTACTACTTTTGGGGTGCTGATTCCAATGTGTCATTTGTTTTTCCCCCAAAAATATTTCTGACACATTTTGAAAAGTGCACTTTTTACTAATTTTTTACTATATTGACCACAGTCATGAGTGGTGTCGTTCCCGACTAAGTTTGCACTCAGAAAAAAAATTACATTTGCAGCTAAAACATTAGCTGTATATGGACAGCTAACTTTTGGAGCTACGCAGCTAAAAGTTAGCGTGGTAGCTCCACCGGTTTGCTCTAGAGCTATTGTGTAAGTAGTACAGCCAACTTTTTGCTGTATAGCTCCGAAAATTAGCTGTCCACATACAGCTAATGTTTTAGCTAAAAATGTAATTTTTTTTCTGAGTGTGGGGTAAGGTAACTGAATTTTCAACCGCCACATCTGTACGGAGTACCATTTTCGGTTTTGAGGGGGAGGGGGGATTGCTTTCAAAATATTAAAACTGGTATAATTTTCGACAAATATGAACCAGGAATAAACGTATCTGATGTATTTTATAAGGTAGAATGACGCAGACGGTGATAGACGATAGTTTGCTATGCTTTTAATTGGCGTGTTTTTAACGTAATTTAGGCAAAAGCCTTGGGGCGGGAAGGGGAGGGGGGCTAAACAAGGTAGGGTGGGGTTACTTGAGTGACTTTTCTTTTCTCCCTTACCACACCTAAATGGTGATCCCGAGGTAACTGATAGGTTTTGTAAGGTGCCGTCATGAGCCATGGACCTTTTGCACAATCCTTGTAAAACACTAATGTATATCTCTTTAGATATTTGCTCGATGTTTTGAAATAAAATCTCCCTCCTCTTTCCCCCACCCCCGTAAAATAGAAAATGGTTCTCCGTACAGATGTGCCAGTTGAAAATTCCTTTTCCTTACCCCAAAATTAGGCGGAAACGAAACCGCACATGACTTTGGTCGGAAAATAGTAAAAGCTGCTCTTTTCGTCAAAATAATGGACATTTGTTGTTCAAAATGTGTCAGAAATATTTTTGGGGGAAGAACAAATGACACATTGGAATCAGCACCCCAAAAGTAGTAGGAACTGACACTGACATCGCAAACATCGACCAAGACACGGAAATTTCAATTTTAGGGGGTGGGGGGAAAA